ATATTTGGGTTTTTTTCTTCCTTAGCTACAGGGGACTGGGTACTGTAACCTCAGAGCACATTGGTAGCAGCTTGTGCATCTCCTGGAGATGCGTGATGCATCATAAGTTGTGGACAGGAAACTTTTTTGAGGAAGCCCTTCATCCTTGAGAGCTGTAAGCAGAGATTCTGGATATTGAGCTTGGGCCAGCGAGCACTCATCCCATTTTTTTTTTTTCATCTTCCTAATCTCCAAAGGAAGTTCGTGAGAAAACATTTAGAAACATGTAATCAGAAAACCAACTTTCTTATTTGCAGGCAGAGGGATTTGGTTTCAGAGAACTCTGCATTTGGCTGGTGTTTTGAAAGTGCTGTTCCCTGACATTGCCCTTGCCTTGCGAGATGTGGGGCAAGAACGAGGTCTCCTTGACCAGAGGTTCAGAGACAGCTCCGCTGAGCTGCACCAAAGACACATGTGGCTTCAGGATATTTATTTATTTATTTCTGGGGGGTAACAAGTTAGAAGCACCTCAGTAGAAAGAGCTGTCCCTCCTCTCTGCTAACAGAAAGCCAAACTGCCTATTGCTCTGCTTCTGCCAGCATTATTCACAAGCCACGTGGCTTCAATCAGAGCTAGGCTCTAGCACACACTGGAAACCACAGTTCATTTTTTCTGTTTGCCAAGGTTCAGACCTCTCCTCTCCCCTTCCCTGACATGCATGTTTGATATCCTTAGTTAGAGTTTTTTTGCTCTGGGTTTACTTCTCGCACCTCATCTCTTTCACACCCCTGCAAATGAAGCACAATGGCTCTCCCTTGCTCTTTTGTGGATAGGAGGGATAAATAGCAGATGGGACCTGCCCAAAACCAAGCACAGATGGAGAAGTTACCCCTTCTTCATTCGCACGATCCCATCACCTTCCCAGCCTGCAAGAGCCAGTCCATGCCACTGAGTGAGAGTAGAGAAGGGAACAGACAGGTCTAGAGAAATTATCTTTCGGCTTCTTTTGCCCCATAAAATCCCATAACCTGATCAAGCATGAATCATTGTTCAGGATTCCTCGTTCATCCCTCCCTGGGACTGTCTCTCTAAGGCTCTGTAAATTAGAAGAGACAAATCCCAGCTATACCTGAGGGTTGAGAGGAGGTAGAAAAGGATGGGATGGTGACCCAGGAGACAAGCTCAAAAAACACGTTCCACCCTAACTTAAAGCTGCCCAAAGAGACAAGATGGCCTGATGTGCTTAGTCAGTGTCCTTTTTTTTTTTTTCCCTCCACATTTATCCAAGTTTGTGCTCTTGCAAGCTTTGTTTTTGATACTTTGATGATTGGCAGTGTGCATGTGTGATGTCAGGTTTGCTTTTTATTATACCCTTCCCCTTGCCCCAAATGGCAGCAACTGTGGGAAGGTACCCACAGAATGAGAATGAAAACTTAGAAGGCAAAACAAAAAAGAAAAAATTTTTTTTTAAAATAATCTAAACCATAAACCACTGAAAAGGCTTCCTTTTATCCAAACACCTCTGTCTGCCTGAGGACACTGGGAACAAGGAAACCACAGCTCTTCAAGGAGCAGCAGTGATCTCAGGAAGCCCACATGGCTCAGCCACAGGTTTGGTATCTACAGCGTGTGAAAAATCAGTCTGAGAAATGTACAGCGCGAAAGGGCAAGTTGTTCAGCACTCTGAAACTTGCCTCCTATGTGATCTTTTCTCTGTTGGGGGTAATGAGGAAATCAAGCTTGCGGGTTTGACCTCATTGCCCCAGGAGAGCCCAGCTAAAATGGCAGAAGCATGTAACAAGAACGGATGCCTGGTTAATCCCCCAGCAGGACGATGCAGAGGCTAAGCTGAAGGCTGTAAGCTCATATGGGCAGGGACCATCTCTGTTACATGTTTGTTCCGCATCTAGCACAACAGGGTTCTCTAGGTGCTACTGCAATACAAAGAATAAACAATATAGCTACTCCAAAAAGGCAGTTTCGTCTATCTTGAGACAGTTTGTTAAAAATCATTTGACTTGGATTTTAATAAACATTTTAAATACATTTTAAAGCCACTCGATGTAGAAGTCTTTGGTAAAATCCAAATGGATTAATTAATTTCCTATTCTCAGAAATGCTCCCCAAGACAACCAGACAAACTCTTGACCATTTTTTTCAAACAACAGAAAAACCTTTAACAAAAAGAAGAGCCCTTAGGATACCGGGAGGGTTAACACCAAAATCATCATCAGTGTGGGCCTGGTTTCTACCGCACACAGACAAGCAGCAGCAGACCCCAAGTTACCAAGGGCTTAAGGAACGTTCTTTAATGATGTAGAAAAACACCAGAATTATTTTTGTATTGCTTCTGTGTGCCATAGAAAACCATTACAATCTAGGGGAAAGGAGATGGAATGTAAGTGGAAGTTTGGCAACTTGTTTACAGCAGGCTTCAAGTTGGCCCCAAACTAAAATTCTGCTCATGGTAGCATTGAAAAATGAGTTCATGAAATGTAGCTCATGCTTCAGATGCGAGACTCACAGCATCAGCTTTTTCCCCATGTTCTGCTGCCGATGGGCCTCAGTCTTCCCATATTTGCAGTCTGGCCCAGCACTCTTTCGCCTTCTCATCACCTCTCAGGCACTTGTCCCCTTCTCATCACCTCTCAGGCACAGGAGGCGGGGAGACCACCAGGGAGCCTTATCTGCCCTCTGGTGTCAGCAGGAGACAGAGGCCACCCCATCTGTCCTACTTCTGTGAAATGCAGGGAATACACAGAGGGAACCCCAATCCTGGTACATGACTCCACTGTGGCCCCTTTGCACTCGCTTCCCAGGAGAGATGCTCATGCCACTGTCCCCCCATCCTGCCTAAAGCAAGGCACGCCGTGCTCACAACCACTGGAAACAATAAAACAATGCTAAAAAAATCCCAGAAGCTCAACTAGTTCCTCTCTGTCATTCTCCCCTTCTGCACCCACTGGCTTCAAAGTTCAAAATACTGCTTTAAAGTATTGCTGAAGCACATGCTGTCCTTCCTATGCCAGTCACGGGGCTGGCATTTCCAAGCAAACATTGTTTCCACAACCTCATCAACATGGGTCCACGGGTAGATTTCCATTGCACACCAACTAGGAAATGTTGGCAATGGAATAACCTTCTCAAGTTTAAGTTATTAAACAAAAAAAAAAAATCACATCCCTCTTGGTTTTATGAGAAATGTGGAAAGCGAGCTAGGCAGGGCAGAAACAAAATACAATCAAAGTAAGTGGAAAAATTAAAAGGAAAGAAAAGCTGCATCCATCTTTAAAAGGAAATTTTGCAAACCCTGGGAAATACTGAAAAGAAAGATGCAGCATTTCTGACACATTATTAAGCAATTTCTTAATTTCTTAGCCGGGCTAAACTCTTTC